AATTAATTTTATAAACTTTAATGTTCCATAGATTTATTTACGGCAATTGAATCGTAAACTGTTCATAACTAGTTATGGTAGTATATCGCTATTTAATCACATGCTACAGATATGTATATGTAACAGCATTATTGAGACCTTAAATTTCGATGTTTCAGAGGCACAGTTGAGGCTGATGCTGTCGTTGTAGTTTTACCCTTAACTGGTCGCTCTGGCGTAAAAAGTACGCCTATCGAGCTCAAACACGTGACATATTGAAACTAGCGATTGACCGAAGGTGATCGCCTATGTAACCTACCACCATAGTGTCTTGTATACACTGGAAAAGTGGCGATCCGGTTGGTTTCCATTTCGCTTCCCTGCAGGGCGCTGCTTTGAATAATGTACTGATTGGCGTACAAAATACGCCAAAGCGACCGTTTATGATTTTTATTTTTATAAAGGTTTATAATACTGCATCGGGATCACGAGGTTCGATTCGATTATATCGGGTCAAACGATAAGCGACTCGAGTGGATCGTTCACGAAACTCGATCGAGTTGGAAATCAAGTTTATTCGATTGTTGCTAACGTTACGTACTTCGAAAATGGAAAGTGATGTCGCTTTTCAGTTTCTTGGTTATGTAAATATAAGTCTTGTGTTTTGTAATTCAAATTTCAACAATAAACTTGGACTACACCAAAATTATACTCTTCACCAATGCATCTATGATAAGAGCCAGTGATCTCTGAGCCAGTGGCATAAAATCTTAAAGTACATAGCACCATGTTTTCTAGAGTAACTGCCCTAGCAAGTATTCGCTCTGTACATGTGTCAACTGCATAAGTTCTGTAGTTGTCGTTAATTAAGACGAAATAACTCTACAAAACTTGCCTCTGGAAGAGAAAAGGGTTCCTGCTTTTACCCACAAATTTGTCTTCGTCCTACAAGCTCAAGCTTCTGGCAACGTCTATTTCTTTGTCTTTGCAGAATAGCGTGGATAACGTAACAATTTTTATTTTAATGAGAATTTTACGATATATTGAAAAAATAGATGAAATTTAACCTAATTTGAGACCTCCGAACCTGTCGAGGCATTTCGATCGAAATAAATCGACAAACCTTAAACGAATATCGAGCTTGGTGATCCCGCAGCTGTTTTCGCCTAAACGTAACATTTATGTGGTTGAGATTGAAAATGTTAGTTCTATGTGTTTTTCTATGTCCATTTAGCGAAAGGATTCCAGAAAATGAAGTGTGTTCGATTGTCATTATTATTATTTTTTTTTCATAAATAATAGTTATTTTGGTTTCCTGACAGGTATGTGTCACCATGACACCAGTGTGCGAACTAGCTATTTCGCACACTAGGGTGCGAAATAGCTAGTTCGCACACTGGTGTCATGGGAACGTTAAAAAATCAATACCTGGGAAAAAAATTGTCACTTTGCAAACTGTCATGAGTGTGCGTACAAAGTACACCAAGCGAACAGTTATGGAAATAAAATCTAGCGACCAGTTATCCAGTTAAGGGTTAAAGTGATTGTTACTGGCTGTTTTTTTTTTTTATTATTATTATACATTGTAGATTGTGTTAGTTAGTATCTATTACCTTTGCATATATAATTACCATTTATTGGTGTTTGTGAAGTGAAACAATAAATAAATAAATGAATGAATATTAATAAATAAGGTAATGAGATATACAACATTCTTCTTCGCTCAGTTTCTGACATAATCTTGAAGATATGAAGGTGGCCTATGATTTCCCTTCACCATAACACGACCGGATTCATTAGTAGGTTTCACTGTAGATAAAGCTGGAGGATTTTCATTGTGAGATTGTTTAGAATTTTGGGGAAGGGAACGATCAGTATCATTCATAGGGAAAGAAGATGATGAACTTTCTCAACTGACTGATGTAAGGTTTTCTTTAAAAATAGTAGCTCATTAAAATCTTGTTCTGGCAATTTTATGGCATTTTGATCTTGTTCTGGTAGTGTCACATCATTTTGATCTTGATCAGTCAGAGTTGGCAGTGTCACATCTCCCCTTGGTGCTAAATGAGTTGATACAGTTATTTCTCTTCCATTTGATAGGCGTACATGAGCATAATCTGAATTTGTTTCCAGAAGATCAACTTCTTCTACTAGTGGATCATATTTGCTATGTCTAACATGTTTCTTGAGAAAAACTGGTCCTGGGGTGCTCAACCATGTATGCATTGGGGTTCCATTAGTTGATCTTCTAGGATGGTTGAATATGCGTTCATGAGGTGTAGAATTAGTTGCAGTACACAAAAGAGATCTTATTGAATGTAGAGAATCTAATAATACATCTTGCCAATTGTTTCACGTCGAGGTTTCTAGATTTAATCCCAAGTTGAATAGTCTTCCAAATTGTTCCATTAAATCTTATTTATTATTTTTATTACTATATATATATATGTATACTTTCTTATAATATTCATGAATTTCTGTAGGTAAGTTTTTGTCATGTTCTTCTTTTGTTTTTCCACAAATTGTAACGTCGGTCGTCCAAAAATTCATATGTATCGGATAGTATTTCATTATGTATGATATTGTTAATTATACGTTGAAAGTAGGCTACTCCATTTGTAACGCCAAATGGAATTCTTGTGAATTGATACAACTTGTTACATGTTTCAAAGCCAGTATAAATTCGCTCATTTTCCAGAATAGGTATTTGATGGTATGCACTACGAAAGTCTATGGAACTGAAATATTCATATTGTGAAACTTGATTGACGAATGACGATTTTATCAATATTAGGTAGTGGATATGCATCTAATAAAGTGAACTTGTTGATTGTAAATGAATAATCAACAACCACACGTTTCGTATGATTCAAGTTGCCTGTCACTGAAACGTGTGCTCTGCATGGTGAATAGGGTACTTGCATGGAAAATTAAATTGATTATTGTTTATTGCAAACTGTAGGAAATCGAAAAAAAAATCGTTACTTTTTTTTTATTTCGACCAAATATGATTATTCCGGAAGTTATACAAATATTAAGTTTTGTATATGTTACTGTAAATGCCCGAAATTCGGTAAAACCTAGGATAAGCGCGTTAAACCTAGGATTTACCAAAAGCAAGTGGTAAAAGCCCGAAAACTAGTTATTTTGCTTCCATTTCGGAGTTCTACCGGACACAGGCAGTAAATCTTAGGATTTACCACACCGCATTGGTAAAAGTACGAATACTACTGATACGTTACAGAAATCGATATCTGAGACGATAATCGTTAAGAAAATTTCTTGAGTCCTATAGTGATGTTCCATCTCCAGGAAATTAGCGTAAGAAATGCAATTGTATTCGAAAATGTTCCACCAAAAGATGTTTGTGCAGATCCTTTAAAATACTCTGCAGTTTGCCCTGTACGACGAATAAATAAATATTTCTAAGTGGACATTTTTATTCATTGATTTCATATAAGAAATAAAAGGATTTTTTCTTTTAATATTTAGGTATAGTTTTTCTAAAGTCAATTGGAACAAGGTGAACATAAATCATAACTGGTGGCTGACAAAAGGCAGTGCATTTCTTACAGTTGGTAACTTGTTCCAATTGAGTTTGGAAATACTATACCTATTATCCGTTCATAATCCGATGTCCACTGGTAGGTACAGGTAAAATCACCTTTCAATGCTTTTTGATAGGGAAAGGTGATAAATTTACCTGCACCTGTGGACATCGAATTGTGAAAAGGATATACTTTTTGCAATATTAGTACCTGAATTATACCTGTTTTTTTTTATATTTCGTTTAAGGCCACTATGAGTTCTGTTTTCATTTAAGAATATAAAAATAAAAATTGTTTTGGTGTGACTTTTTTTTTCATTTATAAAGTATCTTATTTTCAGGCATTGAAATTTAAACGATTATCGTTTCACGATATAGATTTCTGTAACGTCTCAGTGGTATTCGTACTTTTACCAATGCGGTGTGGTAAATCCTAACATTTACTGTCTGTGTCCGGTAAAAGTCCGAAATGGAAGCAAAATAACTAGTTTTCGGGCTTTTACCACTTGCTTTTGGTAAATCCTAGGTTTAGCGCGCTTATCCTAGGTTTTACCGAATTTCGGGCATTTACAGTAACATATATATAGATATACTGAGCATGTGCAACGTCACTAATTTATATGGGAAGTGACGTCATAGGCAGATTTCATAGCGTTGTATCTCCGTCAATTTTTGACTAAGAAGAAAAAGAAAAAACACGTGTTGACTTATTTTTCATGGACTATCAAAATCAGCAATAAAAAAAATTTGATGCAAGGAGCCTATTACTTGGTTCAATGATGTTTTCTTCCAATAATCTTTGTATTTCTGTTTCTATAAATTTGTAGTCATCATAAGAAAACTGTCTGGATTTAATAGCAATAGGCCGGCAATTTTTTGTTAAAATTGCAAACAGCGGATAAGGTCGAATATTTGCAGTTACTAGATTACAGATAGAAAGTTTTATTGATTTCTGCCAAAACTGAGTTCTACTCCTGAATGATTTTGAAGAATATATATAATTACCAATAATAACATCAGAACAAAGATTTTCTAAGACATACATCCTGATATTTTCGTACACATGATCTGGTATTTTTAAAGTCACGATACAGTATCCACAAACAGAAGAATTTAAAAATGAAGCAGCCATTGTGACATTTAGAATGTAGGAAACACTTTGATATGTCTTTGTGTGGTGATGGTTTTTGAGATATAACTGTCCGAGCTTCCAGTAATCAGTATCAATTATTGCATCAGTTAGAATATGATTAACTTCAATTTTAATAATAGCTTTCGATAAGTAAGATGTTGAGGCAGCTGACATCATTCCAATCATGACACCTGAAGTTTTATTTGAACTATGAGATTGTATTTGATGTTAAGATCAACAATATTTGCATTATCAGGTTCCAACAATTAATTATTGAACCACTTTTTTTGAAATTTTTTGTTTATTTATTGACTTTAAATAGTAACTACAACATTATAATCACGAAATAATACATTATTGGGTTCTACCACAAAAAAAAATTACATTCAAATTTATCAAATAAATTAATAAAAACATTTGTAAGTACCTACCTATACAAAAATAAAAAAGAATATTTCAATAATCATAATCATTGATTGTAACAGCCAAAACTTTATCAAATACTTAACTTACTTTAGTGAAAAGGCCAATACCTACAACTATTTATTAGTTATTGTGTAATATTTTGGGTTTCAACTCAAAAAGTAGGTTCATAGTATATAAAAATACAATTAAGGAAACAATTATTTCTAGAGGACTTAATGTGTTGGAGTATCCTCCAATTGGTGTTTGAGCATCAAATTAAAAAAAAAACTACGAAACCTCTCATAGACACAAAAATATTCTCCTAGTCGCTAGAAACTATCTGTTTATCCCAACTTTTCTAATTGTATAAATATTGAATTCACAAGATAAATCATCAAAATACAGAGCCTTACTTATCTATAAAAATATTGCACTTGAAACATTTTTTACAATAATGCTTTGGAAATGATTACAAATTTTCAGCATTTTCAACCCCCTCCTCACTAATATCTTTAAATTTTAGATCATTTTTTTGAAACTTCCTTACAAAATCATTAACACTATCTGTGGTAATCTCCAAACCATATTCCATCGTAGCGTACCTTCTATTGGGTAGATCTATGGCTACCAGCAGAGGTACTACATCATCCAAACCTGAAGAATTTTATTGATTATCAAGAATAAATAATTAAAATGATTACCTACCTGTTAAATCTCTTAGAATGTCTGTAGACTCATTATCAGTTCCGATTAGGAATTGAAGAAAATAATCATCATGATCACAAGTCGAAAAAAGTCGATCTTCGGAAACTGAAGAAATGTTGATATTGTTCATTTTGTAATAGTTTGTAGCTGCTGGAAGTAAAACGGATTCGGCAAATTGAATTTCTGTTTCTTCTGCATCTGGAATTTTTTCAAAAGTACCTATTAGATTTTATTTAATATAAAAATGACAATAGAAAACTCACCCACAAAGAGAACAATAGACGGAAAATCATGAAGTTTTGTTAGAAATCGGTCTGTTAAAATATTGACTGCACGAGGTTTCCAAGGAAAATTCTAAAATAAATATATAAATAAAAACAAAACCCTGAAACAGCAAAATTCTTACTTGTGCCAAAGGATCTTCAGCAATTTCAGATCTAGCATCCATAGTGATTACATGACCATTACTATCCAATAACAATAACGTAGGGATGCCTCTGATACCATACAACTGTGCCAATTCTGCTCGAACTGATGCTTGCTGAAATGGGACTGACAACCAAGGCATGGATTCAACATAGGCACTGTAGGATTCTGCACTCCTGAAAAAATAAAGCTCTAATTAATTTTTAATTATGTAAGTTCCTGCACGCAAACCATCAGAACGAAAACAAACAATAAATTTCTAATAAAAAAAAACACAAATTTCCCCTGGGAAAACATGAAAAACTCAAATTTATGACTCTATTGCACCCATTCGGTTTTTTACGAGCTGAATTAACTCAAAGTCCATGAGGCCAGCATAGGACCTTTTATAACTTTTATCCGTCGCTACCATGCCAGACTGGAGATATAATCGTAAAATTTTAGTTATCTGAAAGCTAGATGGTATGCTGATTTACAGTTTGAGGTCCCATAAATTTGCGGATTGTATGGAGACGGCGACTTTTAATTTGCTTTCTATAGTGAGTCTCTATTTGGGTAGACTTGAAGTGGTATGGATTATCAATAAAAATATATAAAAAATTATCTACACTGGCAATTGGGCCTGGTTTAGGAAATTTATGGAATAGCGTTATTTTCCTGGGTATAGAGTAGTAGAGCTGAGCGAGTTTTACGAGACCGATCGAGCTTACAAGCGAGGCTATAAAGTGAAGAGACCAATAGATTCTCAGTTTAGGTTCGCATATCACCCAAGATTTTATGTCCAACCGTGCTACTGCTCTCGAAGAGCAATGAAAAAGAATTTGCTTGTGTATGTATTTTTCTTAAACCGCTTGGGTATGATAGACTTATGACTTCGTCAAGACCGCGTCACAACTCGCAAGAGGTCTATCTATAGTGAAATAAAGCTACTTTATTTTACTAGTACGATAAAGTATACCACTGTATCTCCCCTAAACTGTTTAATAACAAGCAGTTTATAGAAAAATCGGACATAAAACATTTTATCTCCTTGTAATCTGGGCCATTTTGACACCTGTTCAGTCACCCAAAAGGCTGGCCCCGGATTATTTTTATTTTGGGGAGGCATCGAATTTGTGAGTAGCAAATTAGTGACGAACTGACTCGAATTCATGCTCTTAAATTAGTCTAACAATAGTCGCATATCAAATTGTATGGATGTGGATCTGCAATGCTCGGACGATGAAGATGGCCCGACTACAAACTAGGTGCCTTTCTCAGCGTCCGTCACAGCCATCGAGAAACGATCTTCGTGCGAGCCTAAGCCTGGGCCATCTTAAACAGAAAGAAAGGCATGATTTGGCAACCAAAACATAATACCTACATAATTTATGTTAGTTTTTTTTTTTTTGTGTAAATGTTATTTGTCCTTATAGTAGGTACCTACCATGATGTTTGTACAAGCATTGTAGTATGTGGGTATATAAAACAATGTTTGATGACCTAATTCCCGATAGGCAAGTTATATTAACCAATTGGCAAGCTAATTTATAATGAAATATCCATTTTTTATATGCTTTAATGTGCTTACCCCTTTCCTCTATGACTTTTTAAATACATTGTTGTAAAGTAAAAATCAAATTGCTATATCGGCATTAAATTCTTATTTAAGCTAGCGCAGTCCCATAAGGAACGTTTATTTGTCTTCAAGCTTTTGAAATAGCAATTTGACCACATATTTTCTTTTGTGACCTCTGTATTTCAATTAATAAAATAGGTATATGTTTTTCAAAATACAAGTTTCTGTCGAAAATATAATTGGCGCAGACGGTAGGATATTCAGAGTGCTTAAGTTTCGGGAAAGTCGATACAGTCGTAATCCGTCGCGAAAATTTCAAAAGATTGAAGGAAGTTCGAAAAAGTGAATTCTTCGGGTGAAATTTGGAATATCAGTGCTGCTATTAAACGTTCCAGATACTGTCCACTTCGAATTGGTTAACTGAGTAAAAATAATAACAAGAAACAACGTGTGAAGAAAGACTACTGTTATTAGCATCGTGCCTAGTAAGTACATCCTTTCTCTTTATACATTTTGTAAATGGTGTTCCATAATTAAAATTTTTGGATTTTTGATCTTTTGTAATTTCTAATTTTTGATTTACTGAGAAGACTTAAATTCAAATTTTTGTTCATTTGCAATTCCAAAAAGGTTTGCTGAAAAGACTGAAATCAAAAATAAAAAGTAACTAAGAATTCACAAACCCAAAGTAATAATAATTTTTAAGAGAAAGCAACGTACAAGACTGATTAATTAATTTTATTCTATCGCGAATGGTAAACTATCATTTAATCGACTCAAAACTCGTAGTTAAAGTAACACTTTATTTGAAGTAGTGAAATCGAACAATTTTTACCCACTCATTTGTCAATTTTACCCACTCATACGTCAATTTTACCCACTCATATGTCAATTTTACCCACTTGTTCAAATCTTTTATAATAATTATAGTGTTTTTGACAGAAATCTGGTTATGTTGCATGATTGACAACACCAGAAATGTGTCAGTTTGTTAGGTACTTTGTCAACTTGTCATAATCTATGTAAAATTTTAGCATATTTCAGTTTATGATTTTAGTAATAATTGTGATAAATAAGAAGTTGCTCAAGAATAAAATAGAATATTACACACGATGGTAAAAAAGCTTTACCTGTTCGTGGAATTAATCCACTCGCTCCTTCGTCGCTCGTGAATCAACATTTTCCACTCACAGGTAAAGCATCTTTTTACCGTCTTGTATAATAAATAACTATTACTTCTAATAAATAAAAAAAAAAAATTTAAATTTTTGAAACTTTTGAATTTTCATATAATATCTTTCTTTGAATATTTATGTCAGACTCAATTCAATTTAACTCATTTTTACAATTCTAATTCGAGAAGTAACAACCAAAATCAAAGACCAACCGTAACTATGAGTGAAAATTTAAAATCAATCGTACAACTTATCAAACCTTTCAGTGGCGAAAGCCAATACTTAGAATATTTGATTAGAAACATCAATGAGTTTTATCAAACCTATTATACTGGTGAAAATGCCCAGAAAGAGTACCTATGTGGTTACCGCCATAAAATCAAAATTAATAAATAACTCGGGAAATTTTCTTATGGCACGTCCTGATTTACTAAACATGAACCAATATAAGAGAAGCGTTACGAATTAAATATGGTGATCAATATTCTAGAAAGAATTTGGTACAAGAGCTTATGTATACCACTAAAACTAATAAAGAAACTATTATTGAGTATTTGCATAAACTAAAAGGTTTAGTTCAAAGAATTACATCTAAAATCATGTGCGACCCAAATTAAACAGTAGTTGCAAATGTCTTGATTGAACAAAATAAAATTTTTGCTATTCAAAATTTAGCCACTAATCGCCAACCGAATTAGAAACAATTTTAATAGTTCAAAATCCATAAACGTTGGATGCAGCTAACAAATTTGTGTTAAATTATCAACTAGCTGAAAACCACATAAAATTTAGTAGAGGACTTAATCATTCTACTAATCAAAATCAAAATCAAAATTTTACAAATTTCAAAAATAAAAATACGCAATTTCGTTCACAACAAACCTATACTCAACAAAAACCTTAATATATACAAAAGACATCTTATATACCACAGAAACCACAGTTTCCATCCCAACTAGTTCAGGAACTTTTGGCAAAAATTATAATAATGCCTTTCGAAAAAACACGAATCAAAAATTTTCGAAACCCACACCAGTGCAACCATGAGCACAAAATCAACATCAACACAGACCCAGTAACTATTTCAAACCTGATCCAAATGCAGGATCATCAAGATATACCTACAATCGGCGAGATTAATAATACCTTTGAAATAGAATTACCTGATCCTGACGAAAATTTCGAAGCTGAAGAATGTTCCGAAAATCAAAACTATTATGAAGAGACGAATTTTGAAGAAAATCAAGTCGAAACTGAAGACAAAAATTTTCAGTTACCAGCCTTGGATGCAATGAGTCAGCATTAAATTTAAATGCTTATCAAATCAACCAACTGCCTTTTATTCAAATAAACTATCCACCGTGTAAATTATTAATTGACACAGGAAGTCATGCCTCTTTAATAAGACCCTCAATCGCAGAAGAATATTTTTCAAATTCTATAATTAATTCACGAAACAAGTTAACTACTTGTATGGGTACAAGAAAAACCCAAGGAAAAAATCAATGTCCCAATTTTACAAGAATATAATATTCAAAACAACAGTGAAATGATAATGTACAATTTCCATGACTTTTGATGGAATTATTGGAATCAAAGCATTACAAGAAAATAATTTAAATATAGATTTTTCTAATATGCTTCTCTCTAATAATAAAACAGCAATTCCGTTTCAATATAGAACAGATTTCGAAAATCAAAATTTTGAGATTCCAAGCAACTCAATTCAAGTAGGTATTTTATTTCAATACAAATATAGCTGATGGCATCGAAATTCTGACACCACCGATAAAAAATGAAACATATTATATTCCTTCGACAATAGCAACAGTCATTAATGAAATGGTGCCTTTAGAAGTACATAACTTAATGAATAAGCCTATTATTGTCCCGTATAACATAAATAACTTAGCGGAAATAAGTTTACCTTATGCTGATGAACAGTTCGAGATATTTAAAACACAACAAATGACTTCATTAGAAAATGATGAATATGCAAATGACCCTATAAAGTCGCTACGTATTAATCATTTAAACTCAGAGGAATTTGATGCTTTAAAAAAGGTAATTGAATCTTTTCCTAAAATTTTCCACAAGCCAAATCAAAAATTGACATTCACCAATCAAGTCAAACATGAAACTAAAACAACAGACGGAATACCAGTGCACACGAAAACTTATAGATATCCTCATCCTCATGTGCATAAACAAGAAGTAAATTCTCAAATAAAGAAAATGTTAGAAGATAACATAATCAGACCATCCTGTAGTCCCTGGTCATCCCCTGTGTGGATAGTACCTAAGAAAGAAGATGCCGCAGGCATACAAAAATGGAGAATGGTCGTTGATTATCGAAAGATAAACGAAAAAACTATTGATGATAGATATCCATTATCTAATATCACTGATATATTAGACCGACTTGGTCGTAGTAATTATTTTA